TTTCTGATTTTAATTTCAATTTTTTTTAGATCTTAAAAATAGTTTGGAGTTCAATGCCAAACAAGTTTTTAGATCTTAAAATCACTATTTGAAAACTCATATTTTTAAAAAGAATTATAATTTTTGAGTTTATTTTTTTTAGTAGGATACCAAACAAGGTCTTAGCAGTTCCTTATATATATATATATGTGAAGACCCTGGATGTACCTCTATTTCCACTCATTTGCCATGAACCAATCTCATTCTGACACATGTCCTCTTTTTGAAGAGAAAAAAAATAGTATACCATAAAAAAAAATCCAAAAGATTTAGATTCTTTGTGTTAGGAAATAAATCCCAACCTTTATTTTTTGCAAGAATTATATACTTGTTAGAAAACAGAACAAAAGGAATTTCCTGTTAGAAAAACCAAAAAAAATAAAGAGAGAGAGAGAGAGAGAGAGAGAGAGAGAGAGAGAGGGAAAAGTAAAAGTCTAATCCTGAAAAAAATTTACAATAAAAGCACCTGACATTGAATTGCTACTGGTTTCTATGCCTATATCCAGGATTCTCTTTTATGATTCAATAAAAAAACTGAATGTGGCATTTTAAGGGCTTTATCACATACCAATATATCTTTGTTTCCTGGCAAACGATAACAAACATAGATAACAAAATAAACCATGTATATATTAATCAATGTCTTTTGCCCTGCTTACAGTTGTACACTAGAGACTGTAGCGCGACAAAGGGGACACTGGTTCATCTTGAGTAGCCATTGATCAATGCATTCTTCGTGAAACGCATGTTCACACTCAAGCTGCCGACATTTTTCCCCGTCCTTAAACTCGCCCAAGCAAATTGAACACTCCGAGTCAGTGTTAGTAGCAATTGCTTGGTTCTTTGTATATCGGAAACTTGACGCCTTCTTCTCCGCCGCCGGCGGTGGTGTTTTTGCAGCAGTGGCTTGGTTAGGATTATAGTTAGGAGGAGGGTGAGGCTGTTGTGGATGATTTCTTTGTGCTTCGACATCATCAATTGGAATATTTAGCTCCCGTATTCTTAAATACAAGCAGCGCATAATGAAAGACCAGAAGATGAAACAGGTTAGGAAAGCTGGGAAAAAAAAGGGGTTGTCCGTCAACGAAGGAGGAGGAGGTGCTGCTGGAGAAGGAGGAGGAGGAGGCATGGTTGTTGCTTTTTAGAGGAAAAATACAAATGATATTTTAAACTATAAGGAGGGAGGTGGGAAAGATATCCGCGTTAGTCAACTTGACTAAGTTCATATGGGCGAGAAAGATGTTTATGAAAGAGGAAGATGGAGACTTGGTATATATATGAGATTGTTGTATACCTTCGTTTGTTCAGGAAGATAATATTTATATTAGTATAGAGGAGTCCTAGTCCTAGACAAGGAATTGTAAACTTAGCCGTTTGTAATTAATGTAAAGAAAGAGAGAAACTACTAAACAAGAAACAAAAAAAGAAAATCTACTAGATACCACAAAATAATTTCACGATACGATGATACAGAAAAAAGAGAAAGCAAGACAGACATTATATTTTGAAGACCACAATACGAGCCCCAGATAGATTTTCTTTCAAGTGGGTCGGGCCTCATGAAATATTCAAGTGTGGCCCAAAAAGCTACTAACTAGATTATTATTATTATTTTTTAAAAGGAAAGCTCCTACTAGAGTCTAGAATTAATAAGAAGGAAAATGCTAGAGGCACCAACTTGCTCATCAACTCTCTAATAGAGGTGGAGCCCGCTTAATAAGAAATAAAAACATGAAAAGTTCCTTCTAGAAGGTACAAGTAAAACTAAAATTCCAAAAACTGATATCTAAAAATATGAATTGCAGAAGAAAGAGAATACCAGGTTAGGTTATGACTTGTATATTTTTATTTTCTATATACAATGGGGAGGGAAATCAAAAATGAAACTTTTGTTGCATGAGTTATTCTCAACTACTATAAAACTCATTGTAACAACTTAATTTGTTGCATAGATTAATTGTTTTGGATGCTGAAAAAAGCCTAAAACATAATTTAAATTAGGCAATTATTTGACCATTCTATGGTGTAGTGAGAATCCTTAGTGGGGTATAGCTCAGTTAGTTGAGCTCTCTCACTTCCACTCATGTGGGCAAAGGTTCGAAACCTTTAAACACCCAATGAATATTTGTGTAAACCACCCCCCTCCCCCCTTCCTCCAATCGCTCGTACTAAAAAATAAATATAGTGAGAATCATGGACAAATAGTGCGAGGGTGTGACACGTATACTCTTTTATGTTCACAAGTCTTGGACATTAGTCTCATTTACTTTACCTTATTAATTACTTGATTGTTTGATAGAGTTTGAATTTCCTACCATTTTGTTATCAACCATCCCACCAAGTGAAATATTAGGCTACCACCTCAACATTGTTTGTGAAACGAATGTTTTAATGTTTACAATCATCATCATAAAGTGGTGGTGCTGCTCCTGCAGGAGGAGGAAGAGGAGGCGTGATTGAGAAAACAATAGTTACCTTATTTATATATAGAACCCTAATCACTAATTAATTAAGCAATAGGCCCAATTCCTATCTTATTAGGATAAATATTTGCCTTGTTCGAAACGACATCGTCTCGACCTATAGACGAAAAACGGTTTACCCAATTGAATTATATTTGTTGATAACTTGATATATTGAGTCGGGTTAACTTTCCCCAATCACAAAGTCCTTTCATTGACGCTTTTGCTCTTCGAGAAGCTCCGCTTCGCCTCCGATCAGGGTTTCACAGGTAAAGCTTCAATCTTTCCATGTCGAATTTCGCTCTCTTTCAATTCGTCTCTATCAATTGCAATATATAAAAAAGAACCCTTTATTTTGCATCCCACCGTACGGACAATTTTCGATTTTCTGTTTGAGAAATGCTCAATTTTTTGAAGAGAGTTATTCGGTTGTGCTCTCTTCTCATCGGAGTCCGTTTCTGTTGCATAAATTTCTGCACGCAATTTTGTAATTAGACAATTGAATAGGAGTTCAAAGAAACTCTAGAATTTAAATTTCAAAATTTTCGACTTATTAGGGTTCTTGTTTGATCGCGAATGAACTCGAAGAGTTCTTAACTTTTGATTTCATTTAAATTCAAGTAGTTGTTGCGTTTTTCTTTTTTGTGGGTATAATTTCTGAGAATTCTGATTAGCTTGTTTCTCTCTAGGGTTTGATCTTCGAATTTCAAAATGCCTGCCACAGCAGGAAGGGTTCGCATGCCCGCGAACAATCGGGTGCATAGTAGTGCCGCCCTTCAAACCCATGGTATATGGCAGAGTGCAATTGGGTATGACCCCTATGCACCCAATAAAGAGGACAACAAGACTTCTGCGCAACCCAATTTGTCGAACTCTGAACCAGACGCTGAGAATGCGTATGCGAGCTTCCAGGGCCTCCTTGCGCTTGCCCGTATAACTGGGTCCAATGCTGATGAGGCTCGTGGGGCTTGCAAGAGGTGTGGCCGTGTTGGGCACCTCAACTTTCAATGCAGGAACTTTCTGAGTGTTAAGGAAGACAAGGAGAAAGATCCAGACACGATTCAGGCTGATGTTGCGTCTGAATTGGGTAAGTTGAAGAGGAAGCTGGGTAGGACGAATGGGAAAAACGTGGCTGAGAGTGAAGAGAGTGAGGATGAGGATGAAGACAGTGAGAGTTCAGATTCAGATTATGATTCAGAGATTGAGAAGATCATTGCTCAAAGAAATGGGAAAAAGGCCGGTAGAAAGGATTCTAAAAAGAAGAATGAAGACTCAGATGTTGATGGGTCGGATACGGATTCCGGGGAAAGGAAGAAGAGAGGAAGGTCGAAGAAGAGGAGTAGCAAGAGGAAATACAATGATGATTCAGATGATTCAGATGAAGGTAGGAAGAAAAGAAGGAAGGAAAAGCGGAGGAAGAGGGATGAGTCCTCAGACGAGGATGGTGAGCGCCGGCGGAGGCATAGGAAGAGTAGGAAGGAGAAGAGGAGGAGGAGAAGTCATCGGTATTCGGATGACTCTGAATCTGATTCGTCTGAAGATTCTCATTCTCATAAACACCGCAGTCGGAGGAGCAGAAAGGCAGTCACACCATCTGATTCTGATGATGATTCACGGATCGGTAGGGGCAGGAAGCGATCTGAGAAGAAGAGCCGGAAGCGCCATCATGAGGATGATGAATAAATCGATCTAGGAATGGTCTCAAACTGTGTACCCCAGGAAGCCAGCTTGAATCTATGTAGTTTGCAACAATATGCTATTGCAACCTTTGTATTGGTTCTGTTCATTTGCCTGCACATGATTCTGTAGTATTTGGCTGTTTTGCTTTATGAGATGTAACTATCACTTTGCTCATCGGAAGTTTGAACATTTCTGGTATTAGTTCATTCGATCTTGTGCTGTTTTCTTGTATGAACTATTATTTCATCCTACTCCTTGAATGACATTTACAGAGCATATTGTGCTATATGTTTATAAGATCATATATTTCGCCCTAGATTTGTTTTCTGCAAGCTTTTGAATATATCCCAAGTGTTGCTAATTAGTAAAGTATGAAGGAGTATTGTAATTAGTTTTGTTCTGTTGATTTCCTCGAAGCTTTGGTTAGATTTGGTTGTTTTGCACGAATAAACTTGTTACTAATTATCTACTAAGAAGCTTAATAGCTCTTTTGATTTTCAGTTTCTGATGTCACTTGTGTTGTAGGTTTCTTGCTTGTGGTGATTTCTGGTGTCACGAGTGCTTTGCTGCAATTTTTTATTATTTAGAATTGGTCTTCCACTGGCATTTTTGTTAGCTCTAATGACTAATGCGATGTCAAGTGAATACAAGCAAACATTTTGTGGGTTTTCATCTCCTTGTGCGTATTCTTGTGGATTTTCATAATTACTTCATATTCTTGAGTAGAAGCTTTAGTTTAATGGAATAGACTCATGTTTCACAAGTGGCCAAGTTTTTGTTTGAAGGGCCAAAACTAAGCAAAGCTCATATGCCACTCTGTCACAATAAATATAAGGACAACGCACTTTATTCATCACATTAAGGAAGTCATGGATGGCTACATTGCTTGGATTAGTAACAGTAAAAACTCTTATCTGACAGCAACTTCAGATCCCATGTATCTACAGAATACAATTTGCTGTTTTCCCTTGACAAGTGAAATCCTGAAAAATGGGTACAACCACTATTTGTCCATTTTTTTTTCAAATAAGAAAAAGGGGGAGATTCTCCAAGAAAAAACAAAGAAAGGAAAGGCCAAGATAGCGTGACCGCACCCTCTCGTGATTTGATGACTAATCTTGTGTTGCAGCTCCCTGGTTGAGCTCTGCAAACCTCATGCCAACACGCATTGAATGCTTTAGGAACTTCTCAGCACATCGCCTGACACAGGTTTCCTCTTGCTTCTGCAACGATTTGTGCTTGAAGGTATCAACGCAATCAGTGAAGCATCTCTCGACAAGTGAGTTATACATCCTCAAACTGCAAGGAAATTCATACTGTTAGCAGATTTGTTCCATCCTTCAGAATGGAAATGGCATCAGACAAAGCCTATCAAATTTACCTCCACCAATACATCCTACACAGAACTAGGCAAAGAACTAGTTCAAAGCTATGATAACAGTTCTTTTACATGCAAATAAGCATCCAACTTAGAAGCCAGGTACTAAGAATACCTTAACTTTAGTCTTGGTTACTAATAATAATGACTCTGATGTTCTCTTAAGCACTTTGCCTAAAATACTTTGGGTATATTAACATTGCTTAATGTACATGGTTGGATTAGCATGTCAAAAGGCGAAAACAAGTAAATGTAATACAAAATGGGGCAACACAGTTCTCTTATGGATGATATATTTCTCTCTGAACCTGAACATGACAAAGTCTGCAGGAATCATGAAATTTGTACTAGAAATGTCTACATGAAAAACAAGATTGAAGGTACAAGATCATTCTTCTCCCTAGTAACACAAATGCTTGAAAGAAACAAATTCAGGTGATCAAATAGTATCTCATATATTCTTTATCGTTTTATTTGTTACTTGGGTAAAATTCATATACTCAGGAATAAACAACATTTGCATTAACACATAACTAGTGTAGTTCCCAAAACGTCCAGAAGCAACACAAATGTTGCCATGGTTTTAAGGAGAACTTTTATATGGCTTCACAAAAAAAGAGTTTTCACAAAATTAAACCATGTGACCCAAATAAAAGAGGAATTGTGAAGCAACAAATCTCAGTCAATCAAATGACTTGGATCTTCCATCTTCCATGCTCTTCACAAAATTACTAAATCTTCAGAGGCTTAGCAAAAAAGTTTTTACCCTTTGATTCCGACTTCATCAAAGATACAACGCGATAATAAACAAACATTTGAGTAGCAATTCAACTGGAAATAAAAGCACAATACATTGCGCTACAGAGAACAGATTGAAGCAGACCAAACGATCAAAACATTCCCCACTACAAAATACATTAGAAATGCAAGAACAAATTAAATAATGCAATACCCAAAATTCTATTTTAGAATCACAAGCTTCTATCCTTACATTAACATAACCGTTCTCAAATCAAATAACAGAGACTCAATGCAGCAAAGACCAAAATTCTCTCTTTATTCAAGTGAAACATTACAAATTTACAAACTTGGATGAACATTTCATGCCTGTGCCAAATTTCGAGTTTTTTTTTCTTCATATTATCAAGCAGAAATTCAGAATTTGAGAACCCACAAGACATATGAGGAAATGTAGAAACTCGAAGGGAAAAATTGGGAAATTAATTAGATAAAAATAAAAACCTATCGCGGATCTGGAGCTGATCGATCATAGTGGCCATTCTGAGCTTGTCTTCCTCGGGAAGGGAATCCAGATCTCCTATCATGCTCTTGTCCATACTTAGATTTATCAAATATTTCAGGATTTTTGCTAAATTAGTTACTCTCTCTGGAAAATCACGAAGTTGGGGTTTATGGACCAAGCTCGTGTAACAGATCGCTTCCCCTTTATACCCAGTTAAAACCCTAGATTTCGAGGAGACGAATGTCATCATATGCTCGTAACGGCGCCGTTTGTTAGCTCTGTCTTCTGAGTCGTATTAAGATGATAGTGGCCGTTGGATTTGAGCATGCTATGAAAATTCAGAAATTGGCTTTAGGTGCCTTAACTTTCTTTTTCTTTTTTAAAAGAACTAATATGAAATAATAGTCCTTTTCATTTTTACAAGAAAACAGAATAACTACACTAAGATAATTGGAGGATAATTCGAACTCGGGTGGAAGAGCTCCGGCACACTATTATTGCTAACTGAACCAACCTATAGATTTACCTTTTTTTCTAACTAAGCATTTGTATTTTGTGGGATTTCATTTGCTACTTTGCTTTTTTCCTTTGCCCTTTTCTTTACTAGCTAAATGAAGAAAACAAAAAAGGTCTTTATTTTGTGGGTTTACGTCATAATTGAAAAGTACAACATAATGGCGTTTTATTAATTGGCCAATTTAGTCCCTGTGTTTGTATCTGTTAACAAATTTGATCATTTTTGTCAAAATTATGTTTTTTTTATAATAAAAAAAGATATTTAAAATTAATTAAAAATCTGTAATTAATTATAAAGATTTAAACTCAAATAATAATAATGCTAAAATGATTAAAACCCACACAACCTCAACCTCCACTCCTCTAATGGCCTCGATTCCTGTAGGGAAAAAAAAAAGGTTCTTAGTTGAATTGATGCCTACTATTTTCTTACTGCAATTTTTCTTCTGTCTTCTGTCTTGAATTTTCTCATACTTTTACCCTTCATCTTTATCTCCTCTCTGATCCATCGGCCTGAATGTCGTCGACTTTTCCTGCAGCGAGGATGATCAATTGGCGGTAGAGCCATCAAGGTTACGGTGACCGGCTACGAAGATCTTCGTGATTTGTTAGAGAGGAAGCCGCAAGAGAGAGAGCCTGGTTGTGGTTTCGGTGTTGTTGGAATGGTGGTGAGGGTGGCTATGGGTTTGGGGTTAGAGTGGTGGTGGTGAGGGTGGTTGGGTTTAGGAAGTGGTTGAGGTGTGAGTGTGAAATTGGGGAAGGTGAAATTTTAAAAAAAATATAAATTCCATTTTCAAATTGAATTTAAAATTTTATAATCAATTACATTTTTTTTAATTAATTTTAAATATTTTGTATATACATTTTTAAGAGAATGGACCACATTGACTAACATATACAAACACAAGGACCAAATTTGCCAAATTAATAACACAGAGACTAAATTGGGATGAAACACAGGGACCATTTTAACATTTAAGCCTTTATTTTAACCCCCAAAAAAATATTTCCTAGTTTTAACCGAACAAGATGCGGATTGGACTGAATTGGTTAGAATATTATTTTGAATTGTAGGCAGTATGAGATTGGAGTAATTCAGTTGTTATGGTTTAGTTTATAAAATTTAGTCTCATGTTTGTATTAGATCATTGCTTCATATAAACTTTATTTTTTTATTTACATCATATTATTTTAAGCTATTGTTCAATTTAATTGTATTAGAAATGGTATTGGTAGCTTGCATATGAAGTTAGTTCTATAGAGCTCTTAACTTATAGGACAATTTGTTAAGAACTAGTCAAGGATTTGGATTTGCACTACAATCCCGTTTTTAAATGAAGGAGCTTTGACCTTTTTTCTTGTGTTCAGAATCTCTTAAGAAGTTGTCTGGTCCTCAATTTCGGGGGGTAACACCAATTGGCCGCCAAAACTCTGGACCTCTTCCTCTTATTCTCCGTGCAATAGGTCTCATTACATATAGACCCATTTCTTCTGGCCTACTAAATGCTTTTGAGGCTCCTCGTAAGAGTACTTCCACCTATTTGCCATGGCAAAGGGTAAGGGGAGGCAAGGGCTATTACTATTCATGTGAATAGTGACAACCCTTGCAAAAGGCTTGTGGTGTTTCCACCCATTGCCATAACAACCATTATTCACATGAGATATGAGGAGAGGAATTTGTATAGAGTTTTGGTGTGGGAAGTGAAAAACATGACTAAGTATTTATTTAAAAAAAATTCTAAAATTTTTAGTATTTTTTAGATTTTTTATAATTTTTTTTGGTTGCTGACGTCAGCAAACCCAGGCTAGAGCAAGGGCTAGTTTTGCCTGAGGGACAGCCCAAGCTTGTGGAGCCCACCAACAGCCCTGGCAGCATTTGTCCCCTGGAAGCCCTTTTTGGGCCTAGGCCCCCCTTTGCCCTGGGCCGCTAGAATCGCTCTAAGGTATGTGGTGAAAGTACAAGGTTCCTCCATTGTTCACAACCAGGCCATTACTACTCTTAGCCAGGACGACGAGTTTTCGTTTAGGAAGAGCTTCCCAAAGCTAATATTATGGTCTTTGATTCTACTTTTCGTGATGGGGTTCATAGCTGGTGGTTTTATTCTAAGTGCAGTCCACAATGCATATCGTCTCATTATGGTTGTATCCTTTTTGGTGCAGTTGCTACATTATTCACACGGAATACTTGTTAAAAGTATGCCTTGAAAGCCAATTATTAGATGAAATCTTTCATGGAAACTTCAAATAAACCAATTATTTAGGTTTACACAAAAGGGTAATTATGTCAACATAGGTGACGGTCCATGCATGACCATTGACCTATTTGACAAGTCCATGGATTTACGAGATAAGGAAAGTGATCTTAATGAGGTTAGATGCAAAGGGACCTTTCCCTATAACTCAAACAAAAAATGTTCCCGGTCATAGGATCGTTTAATTGGGCATTGACGAACCACAAAGATCGGTACACACTCTATCTACTTAAACATAAGGGTGACTAGTCTTGAGTCATTCGTGTGAGGATACAGAGATAAGTGCATAGGTGCTTGCAAGGGAGTGAGTTCATTGAATGCGATCAAACTAAGGAAACTTGTATGAAAGTTCTACTTGCATATCAAACAAGATTTCTTCAGTTGCAATGACGCAAGGTTAATTTTTAGACCTGAAGCACCACTGTTGTCTTATGGATAAATAGTCGATCTCTAATTAATCCTAATTAATCCTTAGACCTGAGACCCATCCCTCCCCCTCCCCCTTTTCTATTTT